CTCGCTACCTTGTGAGTACGAGTCCCTACGGGTCAGCGCGGGCGGGGCAGCTGAGGGCTTCCAAGCAGGGGGGGGGGGGCGACGACGCGACCTCGCTCCACGACGCACGGGAGAGAGGAGAGAGAGCAACAGGCCCCTTCGTGCCAAGCTTTTGCTGGGGGGGCCGAATTATAATTCTACCTACGTTCTGCTGCGCCTTCGCTTCGAACAGAGTCACTCCCTCTATAGGCTCACTTCGCTTCCTGGACGTGTTCGCCGATGGTCGAAGCATGCAAAGCAATGCAGTGTCCGACGCAATCCTGCGCTGCAGCACTCTGTATCCAAATTATCTGTGATACTCCAATTGCACCTCTGATGTGCCCCTTCCAGTCGGCGCGTGCGTAGGGGGCGAGCAGAACTATAATTGTTACGGCGTGTGAGAGGCTTCCAAATCTGCGATGCTGCCCACGCGCCGCTGTCGTTTCGCGGGGGGAGGGGCCCTTGAGGATTGCGCTCTAGCGGTCTCTGTGGGGGCCTCGTTTTCCACTCGTCGCCCCAGTGGTGGCGCGCCTGTCGGCGCTCCAGAGAAACAAAAACAAAGACGTTGATCTATACGAACTCTTTTCCTAAGGGTCCGCGCGCCGGGATGCCCCCGCTAGCGGCGGTCTCTGTGAGCTAGTCTGTCGCTGCTGGGGCGGCGCCGTCCTGCCAGCCTGGGATTGCACTCCGAGATGCCCCCGCTAGTGCCCCTCCTGGCTGCGCAAGTGGGCGCCCTCGCGCGCGGCCGCTGGAGCTAGCCGCTTCGCCTGAGTCGGCGTGCATCTCGTTGATCTCGGCGCCGTCCAGCGGGGTGCCCGCGTTGTCGCGGAGCTCCTGACGTCGCTCGAGCCTCTCGACCTCCTTCTGCTCGAAAATCTCGGCTGTCTGCAGCCCCCTCGCGGCTACTTCCATGGCGCTCTGTGGGCTCTACAGTCTGAGATGTTTGAAGACAGTGTTCGAAGGCTCGTTCGCATGTGTGGTTCGAGGGTGTCGCAATCGAATCGCTCGCGATGAAGCAAATTTGTTGAACAGACATTGAGGTTTCAGCTATTTCGCCTCTAGGGCTATCCTGCGAATCCTTGGAGGTCGACCCACGAAGACATCGGGTAGTGCGTTTTTACAAGCCTCATGTTCTGAAGATGTATCAGGCGAGAGCCTCTCGCTTGAAGGTGCGACGGGTTCGCGAGCTTGCTGGACATCTCCACGGCTTGAGAATGTATGCAGCGAGAGTTTCAGTCTCAGCATGAGAGGCCTTAAGCAGTGTTGTTCCCCATCCAATGTTGATAAGGATGCCTCAGACGAACGCCCCCAGTTTCGAAGATCCGAAGAGTTTGCTAACTATCCCAAGATCTAGGCTTCCTGAAGATAGGTTCAATAGCTTAAACAACAGACGCTGTAACGGAGGTCCTCAAACATGTGCATTGCGTGAGGATGCCTCAGGCGAATTTGCCAACCTGGAGAATCACCACCACATCCATCATTGTCAGCATGACCTTCATCGTCATCATCAGGACAGGCATCAGCATCAGCATCAATATCTTCATCACACTCTGACATGTTCGAACAATGTTGCCTCGAACACGTGTCCGAATGTATAGGTTGATGCTGGGTTGATGCGCTTCAACAACAGCAATGTAACAACCGACCATCCCCCGGGTACTCCAAGACCGCCCCAACAAAATGTCGTCAAACGATTGGTTGAACATCTCATGGTTGCATTTCCGAATTTACGAACCTATCGAGTACGATGGCATTACCTGCATTGTGTGAGGAAGTCGGCAACGAGAATTTCTTTTGTATAATCAAATGGCGCTACATACGAGGTACTCCAACATGTTAGTTCCGTGAGGATGCCCAAGGAGGCACACCTCGTCTGAAAACATTGTCTTGGCAAGAGCGGGAATAGCGTGGCATCAAGGAGCTTGGCAAACACATGCCCCACCATGGAGAACCGCGCAGCGCAAGCGCCCCTCCCGACCGCCCACAATAAGTATCAAGTGGAGTTCACTAGGAGGAGGAGGGAGGAGGAGGGAGGAGGAGGGAGGAGGAGGGAGGAGGAGGGAGGAGGGAGGAGGAGGAGGAGGGAGGAGGAGGGAGGAGGAGGAGGGAGGAGGAGGAGGAGGAGGGAGGAGGGAGGGGGAGGAGGGAAGAGGAGGAGGAGGAGGAGGAGGGAGGGAGGAGGGTGAGATCAGACGTGGCGCTGCACTGACGCGGGCACCAAGCCGCTCCCGATCCTGGTCCTGACCCACGGCGGCAATTCGTCCTCCTCCTCCTCCCGCTCTTCGTTCTCGCCCTCACTCACGCCGCCAGCGGCAGCAGCGTCTTCAATACCATCACCATCAATATCGTCACGAGCACCACCACCACCACCACCGCCATGCCTAGCAACCTCGCCTGAGACACCCTCACTATAGTATGAGTGTTTCGAAGGCCCGTCCGAGCTTGTTCTGCCTGAGGATGTCTTGAGCGTGCCACTGGCGTTGCAGCAGAATTGTTGCAATAACCATAGTTGTTCAAATGTTTCGCCTCCTAGTCCATCCTGGAGGTCCTCCAAGGACGCTCCACAAAGACATTGGACAGTGCTCATTTAGATGTCTCCTTTGTTTGAGAATGTCTCAGGCGAGAGCCTCATTAGAACCGCGCGCGCGTCGCGCGAGCTTAGGTTCTAATGTGAGGGAATTTCCTCGTGCTCATCCTACGCTTGCGCTCCGTCGTGTAGTCCCGCTCGTCGCATTCCTCCTCGCCCTCCTCGTCATCCTTCGCCTCTCCGCTCACTTGTGCGAGTTCGTGCTCCTGATCCGTTTCTCTCTCATTCTCTCTCTCTCTCTTTTTCCCCATCCCCAATCCTACTCCGACGCTTTTGCTCGCACAGTCACCGACGGACGAGGGAAGTGGGGATGGAAGGCATGACGAGAGAGGAAGGACGGAAGCGAGGGACGGGCGCGGACGCCCCCGCGCTCGCTTGCGCCACAGGCCGCCACGGCGGCGCCGCTGGCCAGACTCAGGAGACCTGGAACCACTCGGCGAGCGCCTTCTGAACCTTCTCCACGTTCCCTGGCGCAGTCATCGTGATCATGATCTCCCCGACCAGGGTAGCGTAGTCGTCGAAGGAGTTGAAGGTAAAGCTGCCTCCGATGCGCAATTTCTCAGACTCCACATCGAGAACGTGCAGCGTGACATCGGACCCGCTTGAGATCCCAAACCACTGGTTGTCCAGAGTCTTCGTCCGGATGGTGCCCAGCTTGATGCCCGTCAGGAACTGGAAGCTGTCCGAGGGAAGAGCGAGGCTCTCGAACGCCTCGAACTGCGCCGCGGCATCGTCGGCGCTGGTCTCAAAGATCTGGAAGTACAGCGCGCAGCCAGGGCAAACGCCAAACTTCTCCGACCCGCCAGCGAACAGCTCCACCAGACCGTCTGGCCCCGCAAATGCCACGACCTCGGAGGCCCCGGCGGCCACCGCCCAAGCGACGCCCGTGTTCTCCGTGTACGCTCCGTCCACCACCGTCAGCACGCTCCGGTCGGCAAAGTCGTCGAAGTTCTCGCCGTCGGTGGCGAACGCACTCCCACGGACATCGCTCGCGACTCTGGAAGAAGAGAAGACGGCATGAACGTAAACTTTGGGAACTCCTCCCGGGTTCCTTCCCTTGGATCGGCGCCGGATCTCCCTCCGTGGCGCGCGGAGCGCGCCAGGGGCGGCGCCACCAGAGGTGCCCGGCGCAGATCCAAGAATCCCCGCGGAGCTCCGAAAGTGCATGTCTGTGTAGAAGTTCCTTCTTCGAGATGCCATAGGAGTGCCCGCCTGGCGCGTTCGAGACCCAGGTGGACACGTCCACGCAGTCCTTGGCCAGCGAGGAGGCCAGCTTCTTGGTCAGGGTCACCGCGCCCGCGAACGCCGACGAGCTGGCGGCGACGGAGCCGAGGGGCAGCTCGCTGTCGAACGCGCTCTGGGCCACCGCGCCGAAGGGTGGAAGAAGAACGAGCGCACAGACATAGACTTTCGACGGTCCGCGCGGATGTCTTGGATCTGTGCTGGACCCCCTCCCCTGGCCCGCGGAGCGCACGGGGCGCCAGAGGCGCCGCCAAGGCATCCTGCGCGGATCCAAGAATGCGGGCCGTCAAACATGCACGCTTGCGCAACCTGTTCGTCTTCGAGATGCTCTGCGTCTCCCTGTGGTCCTCGCGGCCGAAGACTTTGCGCTTCCTGTCGAACGAGCCTTGCCCGTAGACCCCGCGCAGCCCGAAGCAGCCGCCGTCCGCGCAGAACGGGTGCGGGGGGCTGCTGCCGCTGCCCCCGAGCGACGCGCTGAACTTTGCGGGCAGGTAGAAGGGCCACTCGTCGACGCTGTCGCTGCGCATGCCCATGTGGATCTCGTTGCCGGTATCGTTCTCTGGGGCGTAGCTCCAGACGCTATTGAACTTCTCCGTGAGGACTCTGTCGTCGTAGTTCGGGGTGGGCACGCTGACGCAGGCGAGCCACTCCTTATCCTGCGCCCAGGGCTGTACCTTGGAGCCCAGCGTGGCGCCGTCTGGCACTCGAGAGGCCCTCTCCAGCATTCTCGGGCGCGCTGAAGGAGGGGGGCAGGAATCGGGGGCGCGTGCACCATGGCCCGAAGGATGTACGCGGACGAGCGGCCAAAGGAGGTGTTTAAAGAATTGACCAAGGACCGTCCGTCCCGGCATTCCTGTAAGAATGTGACGAAATACTCTGAGAACCAAATCGTGTTCTAAAAGCAAAAGCAAAGCTCTCAGAACATACAGCCGATGCGTTAAAATAAGACAGTCTCAGCCAGAAATGTCCTGAGACCATGTCGTACAAGCCACACTGTGATACCAGACTCTTCCTTGCCGGGCCCATACGCAAGCCACAACGCCTCGCCACTGCTCGACAGAAGAAGAAGCCGATGATCGAAATCACGAGAGGGGTCCGTGGCATCTGGGAGAATCCATGATCGCGGCCAAGATACCCACCCACCACCCGGTCCTCAGGCTCCCCTCCTGAACGCCCCCGACATGGTCGTAACGAATATGTCCCACGTCAGCCTGCCCTCCCAGAGGGCAGGCAAAAGCGCCTTCGGGTGCCGAGTAATGGGGGGGCGATCAAAGATGGGGGGGAAGGATGCACCTTTTGTATCCTAAAGGGGCCCTGAAGGGGCCCCTATGACCCAAGAGGGGCACGAAAGGTGCACACGTTTCTCCCCCCCCATAGCGCGCCCCCCCGTTGACTCAAGCCCGACGCCTGCAGGTTCTGCTGTTGCCGGTCCGACAGGCCACGCCGGCGCGTCTCATTCTGATTGAGGTAGTGCTGGATGACCTTCTCGACGTCGCACGAGGGGTCCTCGGTCCGATTCCCCAGGTCCGTCACCTGGAGGAGTCCCGCGATCCACTTGTCCTTGAAGGTGGCCTCTGCCTCCTGGGGCTCCGCGGCCAGCTGTCCCGTGAGCTCCACGAACCACTCCGAGTACACCAGGCTGGCGGCGTACCTCGGAGGAGGGCGGGCGGAGACCACGGCAACTCAAAATGTATCCCAAGACCTTCCTCCCTCCATCCTCCTCCTGTTCCTCCTCCTGTTCCTCCTCCTCCTCCTCCTCCTCCTCCCTCCCTCCCTCCCTCCCTCCCTCCCTCCCTCCTCCTCCTCCTCCTCCTCCTCCTCCTCCTCCTCCTGTTCCTCCGCCTCCTCCTCCCCCTCCAAATGCACCAGTTTTCCAGGCTGCGCCCAGCCGTGGCGACGAGGGCCCCGCACGAAGGCCAACTACCGTCGTCTCATACCGTCGTCTCAACTCGCCCTCGTCTGGGTACCACGAGCCGCCGCTGTTGCTCGAGAGAAGCCCGTACTCCCTGAAGAGCTCCTGTAGAGGAAGAAAGATATGTGCAAACATAAACTTTCGACGGCCCGCGCGGATTGCTCCGATCTGCACTTTCCTCGGGCGCCGATGGGGTAGGCCCAGCGCAGATCCAAGAAATCAGCGCGGACCATCGAAAGCTGATGTTGATGGCGATGCTGGTCCCAGGTGGCTCGAACATACGCATATTTACCGCCTGCCCTCCTCCTCCAACTTGTGTGCTCCAAAACCCAGATCGCGGAGAGCCAGAAGGCCGTCCACAAAGGGCTCTCGAAAAAACTCTGGAAACTCCTGGAAGGAGCTTCTGAAAGAGCTTCTGGAGAGCTTCCGGACAGACGTATTGGGAAACGCTTAGGAAAGATCTGCCTGGACACGCTGCACATTCAGGCAGAGCGCGCCGAAGTGTCTTTACGGAAGCTGGAACGAGCTCCGGGCTATTCGGAAATTCATGCCGTTCTTTCTTCTTCGACTCCTCGAGCTGCCCCGGCGCCCCGCCCGGGAAGGCGGCCAGGAGCCCAGAGACCAGGGCGGCATGCATGGAAAAGGCGAACCAGCCGCCGCCCTTGAACGCGGCCGCCCTGCTGACGCCCTTGGCCCTGGCGGTGCTGCGAGCATCACTCAGCAGATCCCAATCCCAAATCCCCGACGATGTGCTGTTTTCAATCTGGTGACGTTTCCTCGTTTTCGGCCCCTGGAGCGCGACATTGGGCCCCGGGGACCATCAAACATGCAACCAGGACGAAAAAGTACCCCTGGGGGAGGCGTCGGGACCTCTGGGGCCGCGCATGGAGAACAAAAACACATCGTCGGACCCAGGACGAAAAACTACCGCTGGGGAGGGGTCGGGATCCGGTAGAGGGAAACAATTAGTGAACACCCCCCCTGCCCCCCAAACTCAAGGTTGGCACGCGCGGGGGAGACTGCGGTCGAGGTGCAACTCATCAGACCCACCGCCGACTTTGAACATCGGGGGGGAGGGGGAGGCGTTCACAGATGAATGTGGCACGAGTGTTCGCTATTTTTTTCCGAGGCCTGTCTCTCTTGCCGCGCACCGAAAAATAAAAACAGACAAACAGAAAGCGCTTCTCCGGTCGTAGAGGGAAGCCCCCCCCGGGGTATGGCCTCGGCCCCGCTGCGAGCAAGCCTGCGGAGCTCGGGACGAGGCGTCGTGGTGCGATGCCCGGGGAGTGCTGGGAGGGTGCGGCCAGACGTTAAGAGTGACCCTGGGCAAGAGGGACCTTTGGTGCGCAGCTTTGGGGGGCGCGAGGGAGCCAAACCCAAGGGCGCGACCCACTTGTATCGCATCGTGCTCGGCGATCGGGGGGAGCCCGAGGAGCCCGCACCAAAGGTCACTCCGGCGAAGGGTCACTCTTACGTGTAGTCGAAGGGTGCCCCTGGCCAGGGGATCCCCCCGACCTTTCGCTCAGTTTTAAAACCCCTGGGGTCCCTTGGAGATCCTAGGGGCACCTTAGACCAGAGGCACTTCTAGCGACATCCGAAGAGGATACGTTCCGGGGATTCTGTAGCATTTGCGGCAATTTCGTGTCGTGGCAACTTCGGCGTTGTTTTCATCACCGCGGGGATCACTTAACCTTGAACGATCGGCAGTTTCCGACACGTCAGGTCGTTCAACATCGACAGCTTCTGGATCGCCCGCGGCGCTCAACGTTGAACGACAGCGGCGGGGTCGCCGCCTGTGGACACGACGTGGACCTACCTTAGCTGCCATCGTTTCTGCAGCGCATGTGAAGCATTCGGTTATCTGGGGAGTCCTGAAACTTTTGGAACGTACCGTTGTCATATCATCATGACCTCTTGCTCCCCTGAATGCTGCTCCCTTCGGGCTCCGCGGGACCTGCCCCAGCCTGGGAAGGGATGGGCTGGCGGAGCTGCGGCACCCGGAGGGAGCAAAACATGTCGATACCGCTGCTCCACGAACCTCTCCAAGGACGCGTTCTGACCTGGATGCCGGGGCGAATCCAGTCGTGACGACGAGGGAAGGGTAGCGGTATCGGTACCTCTTCCTGTCCTGAGACACCGTGGCCCAGTGGGGACATGGGGACGGGCTGGACGATGCCGACGCCGGCGAGCGCGCCCCAGGAGCCCCTCGATTGGAGGCTTGGAAATCGGCAAGAGCACCAACACAGGAGGCTGCCTCCACCAGGCTTTGGAACTGGCGGTAATCCTTCGGCCACCCAGGAAGCCACGGCCATCGAGATCGGCATCGGCCCTCGGGTCCCCTGCAGTCCGCAGTCCCCGGCCCTCAGGACGGAGTCTTCAGCCGCGCCCAAGCCCTGAAGTCTCCAATCTGCCGGGATTCCTGTTGTTCCTGCCGAGGTTCCCTGGCGCTCCCCGCGTGGCTTTTTCGGAGCCGCGAGCGCCCCCAAGACGGGCCAAGAGTAAGACGGAGCCGATACGTCCAGTGAGGATGAATCGAGAATCCCTGGGATCCGGCGTCTCTGGAGGATGTCTCGGGCGCCGCGGCCTTCTTAGAGCGTCCTGGAACGCTCTGAGAGCGTTCCGGAACGATCTGGAACGGATCTGTCCTCGTCCTATAGCCCCGTCCGAAAGAGGACCCAGAGAGGCCTCTGGCGGCCCAGGCGCGGGTTGGGGCGGCCTCTGGGCCGAAGGCCAGCAGGGAGCAGAGTCTGGCGCCGGTGCCCACCCCCCCGGGCCTCCGAGCTTGGGAACTCCGCGTCCGCAGCTGCTGCAGCAGTGCGGTGGCCTCCTGCGAAGGCGCCCAGGGACCCACACAAACAAATAGGCACACGTCCCAGGCCTCCCCACCTTCTCCCGTGTTTCTGTGGAGTGTCGTCTTCCCCCTCACTTCCCATATGTTCCCACATGTTTTCCCGGGGAATCGTCGACTGTTTGTGTCTGTGTTTTTAGAGGCCTCCTAGATGGGGTCCGAGCAGATGGAGTCGGAGGATTTCGCCGCATCGCCGATACATCGGCGGTGCATCGGCGATGCACTGGCGACGTTGGCGATGCATCGGCGACGTCGGCATGGAGGACATCGGGCTCCACATCGAGCCGCATCGCCGATGCATCGGCGACACGGCGCGATCCTCCGACAACATCTACTCCGACCCCGTCCAGGAGACCTTGAGATCCGACGCCTCGAACAAAAATGAGACACCGTGAAAAATCACAACTGGAGCCCTGGACCCATCTTTCTGCGCCATTGCTCGAGCCAGATCCGTCTGAGCATGCCCCAGGGCCCGAACTCTGGGCGAACACGCCCGGCTCGAGCAAGAGCTGGTCGCCAGGATCTCCGGGGAGGCCCGCGGCTCTCTGCTCGTCCCTCCCGGTCCTGCTCCCCCGCGCCCTCGGCCACGCGCTCCTCGCGGCACGTGGCGTCCCCCGACGCGCAGGCGTCGCCCGCGCCCGCCGCGGCGGCGACCAACGCCGCCGCCGCGAGCAGCACCCTGGCGGCCGTGGGCATCGTCGGCGGCCGGGGGCGCCCCGCGGGGCCCGGGCGACGCGCAGCGCCGACCGCCGCGGTGCCTCCGACCCGTCCTACGCCACGGAAAAACACACACGGACGCCCTCCGACGAGCTTGGCGTGCAGAGCAGGGGCCCAACCACAAGAGACCTTCCACACGAAGCCCAACCCTGAGACTCTGGGAGGTCCATTGATTTTTGGTGTGGGAGCGTCACGCTCTCCATCGCAAAACCATCGAAAGCCAAGAAACCCAGGGCACCCTGGAGGCAAGCAGGGCGTGTCTTGCATGGGCCCCCACTGTACCTTCGGGGAGGAGGCTGTATACAGTCTCTGACTCCCAGTGGTGACTTCGACAGCGCCACCCTTCCCTGAGGCCCAGGGGCAATCCAGTGGAAGGTGTCTGTGTATTTTTTTGTGGCGGACCCCCCGCCGACCCCGAGATGCGATAGCTCGAGCCGAGACGGCTGAGTAATTACCGCCTCGGCCTTGGGGGGGCCTCTCTTGGGATGGGGGGAAGCGGGTCCTGGGTAAAACAGGTCCTGGACCCTGGGGCCTTCCCCCAGGACGGGACTCTTTCATCCCGAAACACCTGAAAGGCGAAAAACCCCAGGACCTGTCTCCCTCAGGACACGTTCTCAGAACTGGCGGGCCTTCTCGGCAGGCTCGGAAGTCCCCCCGCCTTCTGAGAAGCTCCTGGGCCTCCCCCGGAGACACGGAACACTTCTCGGAAGGCCCTGGGGCTCATGAGAAGCCCCGCCGCCTTCCGAGAGGGCCTTCTCCCTCCCACTTCCCCCCCCCCTCGCTCGCCGCCGACTCGGGGCCCGCTTCCCCCCCTGGCGGCCTCTCTTGGGCCGCCCCGGCGCCCTCTCGGCCTGCCTCCCGGGGGGGCCCCTCGTGAGCCCCCGTGCCGGGCCGCCCTCCCGGGGACGCCCTCTCGGGGCCCTCTGGAGCCGCCCATGGGCGTGTTCGTGGCCCTCGGGTGCTCGCGGGCTACCCTGGCAGGGATCAACCCCAACGGTGCTGTTCGTTGTCGTTCCGTCTTCGAGGTCCGGCGTTTTGTCGTCGATCCGCCCCTGCTGCAGGACGAATTCGACACGAAAACGGCCCACGAGATCGCCCCAAGCACCGTTTAGGTCGACCCCTGCACCCTGGGGGGGCCCCTCCTACGCCGCGGCCATCCGAGGCCGAAAATGACAAGGGAGCCGAGCACATGCAGAAACGGCACAGTCAGCCAGTATGATAAGGACGCGCGGTAAGGACGCAATGGCCTTGGAGGTCCATGTCGACACTTTGCGAGCAGGGCGCGGGGGGAAGGATGCAAGGGTGACCTTGGAAAGTCGCTCATCCTTACTATGCGGGTTAACTGTAATAGGGAAACCGAGCACATACAGAAACGGCATGCTTGCATGGTTTGGACTCCTCGTGGCTTCTCTCGGCGTCTCTTGGAGCACCCCGTCGGCTTCTGGCCCCAGGGTGGATACGGCCTCGTGGGTCGACTGTGAGACCTCCTCGGCCGTCCTGGAGGCCTCCTGAATACCGCATGATTGTCAGAACCGTGGTGCCAATTACCTTGCTCTGTCGCGCACTAAGCGCCGCCGTGCCTGATGGCAGGCACGCGGGTTGAAGACCTCTTGGGTAATTCAACCTGGCGATCTCCTGGCGCACTGATGGGCCGCCCTGGAAGCATACTTGGCACAAGAGCCTCCCCGAGGAATCCGATAGCGACCTCTCCAATAGCCGACGCGAGCGCCCGAGTCTCTCTTTCTCTCTCTCTTTCTATCTCTTTCTCTCTCGCTCTCTCTCGCTCTAGTCCAAGTGGTCGTCGCGTCGCGCCCACTGCCATACGAAGGATCCTCGCTCCCACAGCCACGATCCGCCCCTGTTTTCGCACCTGCCATCTCTGCCACCTCCGCCTCTACTTTTTTCCCCCGCCTCCGCATTATCCTCTCATCCTCCGCCTCATCCTCCTTCCATCTTCTTACCCTCTGTAATCCCACTCTGCCGCCACCTCCTCCGCTCAGCCCTATGCAGGGCATGCGTGAACATCTACTAGCCAGACAACGTGCAACATGAACAACACCGGAACACGGAACAGTGCAAACCCTGCGAGGCGGAGACTCACAAATAACCACCGCCTGGGGAAACGATCTTCGGGCCCAACGGGCCAGGGCGTGCTAAGATCTCCGGTAACTGGTTAACAGTATTAACAGTATTTCTAGTTCGCGCGCGCGGGGCGGCCCCTGGGGGTCCCCCGGCGAAAAGTACCCCGACCAACGCCCGGTCGCCGCCCGACCGCCGCCCGACCGCCGCCCGAAGTCTACTCAGAGATGGTTTTCCTTCTGGGTGCGGCCTCTCAGGCTCCCCAGAGCGCGCTCAGAGTGCCCCAAGAGGCCCCCAAGACTGCCCAAGAGGCCCCCGAGACGCCCAAAGAGCGCTCGAAGACGCCGAAGATGACCCCAAGACGGCCCAAAAGGCCCCCAAGACAGCCCAAGAGGCCTCCAAGACGCCCCAAGAGCCTTCCAAGAGGCCTCCGAAGAGAGCCCCAAGAGGCCAAAATCGTTGATTTTCATTTGTTTTTTCGATGTTTTTTGTGTTCTGGCTTTTTCGGCTTCCGGACGCTCCAAGACGGCCCAAGAGGCCCCCAAGACCGCTCCAAGACGGCCCACGAAGCTCCCAAGACGGCGCCGAAACGACCCAAGAGAGCCCTCAAGACGGCCCAAGTGCCGCCCAAGACGGACCAAGAGGCCCCAAGACGGGCCCAAGAGGGACTCAGGAGGGATACCGAGAACTCAAAAATGGAGCCCTCCGTCCCAGAAGGCGCCCAGGAGGTCCCAAAGAGGCCCCAAGAGGCCTCCAAGAGGCCCCAAGATGTCGCCAAGAGGCCCCAGGAGACTCCCAGGAGGCCCAAAAGAAGCCCCAGAAGGCTTCAAACATGTCTCCCAGGCGCCCCCGAACGGCCTCTCAACAGACCCCAAGAGGCCCCCCAAAGAAGCATCTTGACGACGACTCTATTTCGCCCCATCGAGAGACGACCCCCAGGGAACTGCTTCACCATCAAAACTCCCCACGCAACGCGTCCGAACGACACCCGCCCCCAAGAGCGCAACATGGGCAACGAACACACAGACAAAAACCAGCGATGCCATATCACGGGCCGGCGGAATGAGCGAAGCGATTCAATAACCACCGCCTGGGGAAACGATCTTCGGGGACCTCGGCTGGCGGTGGATATGAACACTAATATTCAGACCCCAGGCCCGAGACTCCTGTTCATATTCACCGCCTGCCGAGGTCCTCAAACATCGATCCCCCATCGTACATCCTTGCCTCGGAAGCGATCTCGTGAGGGGGAACGACAGGGGGGAACTGGCTCAAGCGAGGAAACACCGACCTGCAATCGGCGATACGTCGCCGACAGAGGCCCTCGATGGCGAAGCCGCACGTTTCTGTGCGGAGTGGGCTCAGGCCCCTGTCGGCGATGAATGGGTGATTTGGGGTTGATGCGCTTCCCCCTGAGCTTGAGGCCGCCTGATGGGGCCCCTGATGTCGACCCGATGAGGAGGGGACGACCTCGTGGCCCCCCTCCTCATCGAGTCGAGACCTGCGCTGAACTCCCGCTCCCTGGCGTGCGAAGCGCGCCATTGCAGGGGCGGCGCCGGAGGCGTCACCAGGGGGGGCCAACACAGATCCAAGCAATCCGAGCGGACCTCCGAACATTTGTGTGTTACGCCGCGCGTTCTTCGGCGAGCCATGGGGGGCAAAAAGACACCGATAGGGCCTGAAGCTGCCCCTGGTCTCGACTCGACGAGGAGGGGACCACATCTCTGCCCCTCCTGTCCTGAGATCAAACGACTCCATTGATCGATCCGTCAGGGCCTCAGGGGCCCAAAACTGGGCGACGACACCTGGCTCAGACAGAAGGACCCCAGCAAAGCACCCCAATAGCAGCAGAGGTCAAGGGGCGAGTCGGGGAGAAGGAAGTCGGCTGTAGGGGACGGGGGTGGGAGCACTGCCATGTGCCTTAGCGCGCATTCGTTTCACATCCTGTGGTGTTGGCCATCGTGTTGAGGGGGCAGCACCCCGCGCCCTCCTTCCTTCCCTCCCGCTGCCCTCTCCGTCCCCCATCCCTGCCTCTGCCCTCTGCATGTCCTCGTCACCACCATCATCAGCGTGACCCTCGGCCTCATGACGGCACACCCCTCCGTCCTCTTTCCACCACTGCTAGAGACCCCGAGCGGCACGCCATCAGGGAAATTGAGACGCCAGGATCTCAGGGCTGCTGC